CCAGGAAGTTGAGGCACTACCTGTTAGCTCACTCAGTAATTCTGGTTTCGAGATTAAATCTCATCAAATATCCCTTCGAGAAACTAGCACTTACGGGTAGGCTAGCCCGTTTGTTGCTTCTTCTCTCCGAATTTGATTTGAAGTACATGACTCGCAAGTCTGTGAAAGGGAGAGCGGTAGTGGAGTTCCTAGCCGATCACCCAGTCGAGGAAGAGGAAGAGGAAGAAGAAGCAGTAGAGTATCTGTTCCCAAATGAGGCTATTCTGCAGGTTGAAGAAGAGATTTTGACTATGTACTTTGACGAAGCGTCAAACTAGTACGGGTATGGGATAGGGGTGTTGCTGATGGTACCCGACAATTCCCATATACCCTTAGTTTTCAAACTTCGGCTCAAGGTATCAAACAACGAAGCAGAGTACGAGGGGTGTATCACTGGCTTAGAAGCTGCCCTGGAACTAGGGGCAAAACGGTTGGATGTCATTGCGGACTCAAACTTGGTTATGTCTCAAGCGAAAGGAGACTGGAAGGTTAAGGAAGAAAGGATGAAAATCTATCACCAAACCCTGGACGTTCTAATTCCCAGGTTTGAGAAGCTAACCTTCACATATCTATTAAGAGAGAGCAACAGGTTCGTGGATGCTTTATCAACTCTATCTTCCATGAAAGACATCCCTTTGGGAGTCCGGATGCGTCCAATCATTATCGAACAGAGGCATGTGCCGGCCTATGAGCTAATCGTTGCAATAGATGGAGTACAAGATCAAAACCCCTGGTATCATGACATCTGGAACTTCTTAGAAAATGAGGTTTATCCACCAGGGGCAAATGCCAAAGACAAGAGGGCGATACAGCGAATGGCTGCTCAGTTTATCATCTGTAGGGGTAAATTGTACAAACGGGGCCATCTGGGAATGCATAAACTGTGTGTTGATGCTGAAGAGTAGAAGTACTTAATGGAGGCCATCCATGGAGGAGAGTGCGGATCACACATGCGTAGAGTGATGCTAGCTCGGAAGATTCTTAGACAGGGTTACTACTGGTCAACCATGGAGGAGGATTGTATTGGTTTTGTTCGACGATGCCACAAATGTCAGATCCGTGCCAATCGCATGAACATCCCGCCGTCGAAGCTGTACTACATGACTTCACCATGGCCTTTTTCAGTATGGGGAATTGATGTTATTAGGGCAGTTACTCCGAAGGGGTCGAACGGGCATGAGTACATCCTGGTCGAAATAGAATACTTTACAAAGTGGGTCGAGGCCCAATCCTACGCAGTGCTGAAAGCGTTACATGTAGCCAAGTTCATCATGAATAATATTATCTATCACTATGGGGTTCCGAATGAGATCATCTCGGACAATGGTTCCCACTTCAAGAAGGAAGTGATCGACTTGTTGGAGAAGTACAATGTGGCTTTTCATAAGTCATCCACATATTGGCCATAAACCAATGGAGTTGTTGAGGCCGCCAACAAGAACATCAAGCACATTCTATAGAAGATGGTGGAAACTGTAGACAGCGCCCGGGGAGGGGCCTCATGCTACAGTAAACAAAGTGTTTTGAAGGATTTGCCTCTCTCCTTGCTGAAGAAACTGATTCTTTGCCCTGCACATCTCTCAACACCGAGCAAACCATCAGTAGTGCCCAAGTCTTAAGGGCGGTCAAAAATGGGGTGTCTACAGAAACCTACAGGGATTGGCCAGATAAGCTGCCATTTGCTCTTTGGGGCTACAGAACATCGATTCGAACATCTACTGGGGCAACTCCATATTCTCTGGTTTATAGGATGGAGGTTGTTCTGCAGATCGAAGTTGAGGTTCCATCGCTGCGGGTGATGGCTGAGTACCAAATAGTGGAAGCAGATTGGCAGCAGAGTAGGTTTGAGGAACTTATGCTATTTGATGAGAGAAGGCTGAAAGCACTGTACCATCTCCAAGGTTATCAACAAAGGATCGTCAGGGCTTTCAACAAGAAAGTTAAGTCTAAGAATCTGAAAGAAGGGGATTTGGGGCTCAAAGACAACCGAGCTCCCATCCATAACCCTAGGGGCAAGTTCAGACCCAATTGGACTGGTCGTTACATCATCAAATCAATTTGGTCGGGTGAAGCTGTCATTCTAATGGACCTAGATGGCCGTGAGTTCTCCCAGCCAATCAACATGGACAAGTTGAAGAAATACTAGCCTTGAGAGGCTCGCTAGGCCGAAAACCTGAAAGGGTGACCTAGGCAAAAGTTAGAGCACAAAAAAAATTGAAATAAGAAAAACTGTGCTCACAAGGTTGAAAACCCAGAAAAGGCGGCCTTGGCAAAAGTCAAACCTGCCACAAACACTTCCAAATCAACTGTGCCCATGTGATTGTTTTGGTCATCTTTGTCTTTTCTACATCCAAGAGTTTGGTTGTGATTTTTGCTATCAGAGCTGGCTACAGTACAATGCAGTGCTATTCAGACAAGGGGAAACTTTCCAGTTTTTGGATTTGGGGTTGTGCATCTCAAGGATAGATTCCAAGTGTGTCCAGTTTGTGATCCTTATCAAAAATGGTTTCGAAAAGTTTTAATAAAAGTTGATTTTGTTCAAATTCATCTTTTTACAACTTTAGACCATTTTTGGACCAAAAGGAAACTTTTCAGTACCCACAACCTTCAATTTCATTGATTTCAATACAAAGTTCTCTGACTCTTGATACAAATTAAAGTTTCTTTTTTATTACATTCAAAAGGAAAACTTGAAAGTACAGATTAAAGCAATAAACTTGGGGCAGAGTCAGGTGTTCTTGCATCCCCTCCTAGAGCTCGTGGAAGCTTCAGATGCCAAAGTGGGCCCGATTTGCGCCTCATCTTCAAGCCAAGCTATGCATTTGCTAGAAAGGGCACAACTGAAAGTGCGAACGGGGGCTAGAAGTTCTCTTGTCCTCCTGTAACAGCGCCCGCGTGGGCCTCGCTGCTACAGTTCGGACTCAATTTGTGTCACGGTTCTAAATCTGCACCCCCTTCCAGAGCTTGTGAAAGCTTTAGATGCTGAAGTAGGCCCAGTTTGCGCCTCATCTTCAAGCCAAGCTATGCATTTGCTAGAAAGGGCACAACTGAAAGTGCGAACGGGGGCTAGAAGTTCTCTTGTCCTCCATACAGTGGAATACCGAGCTAACTATGAGCCTCGAATTAGAAATGAAGCTGGGTACTCTATCCCCTCTTTTGGGAAAGTCTGATCCTGTCCAAACTGATGCCGGAACAGGAATGGAAAGTAAAAGATACAGTGCATTAAGCCAATCAACTGAATGCCAGGTTGTCGGGACATGCTGTAGCTCATCTCAGGCAAATCAAACCAGGGGCAACGCCAAACAATGTCAACAGCAGATCTGTTGCACATCCATTGGCACCGCCATCCCTCGTTTGGGAAATCAACTAGCCGTGAATATGCAGTACAAGAGTCCACTACTTTCAACCTATCCATGAGCCAAACTTGGGGAGGGATGAAAAATAAGAGAGATTAAAGAATAGAGAGGTGTACGTGGAGAGAAAAAGTGAGAAAGGGTTTTGAGAAAAAAACAGAGCCTGAGGGCCGAGTGATGTGAGAAACTCATGTGAGAAGGGTGGGAAACATTACCTGTAAGAGTAGTGGACTTCCTGCGAACCTGGTCGTCTCTTGGCGACGGAAAGCATCCAAACCCATTAAAGTCTCGGCTAGTGTCAAACCAATACAGCTCTTGCCCTCTTTCAAGCCTTGGGCAACTTCTATCAACCAAATGCTAGACCCTTCGAAGCCAGGGGCAAGCAGGAAATGGGCCAACATGCATAAGAAAAGAGCATGCTGCCAAAAACCTTGCCAAAGATGGTCGTTACGGTCACCGGCGTTAGAAAATCGGTGAATGAGATTGGGAATGTCTAATTTTCCATTGTGAACTAAAGATCGAGCATCGTGAAAAGTGAGCCCACACATCCATCCAAAAGCTTGAATATAAGCAAAGCGAGGCTGGTGCAAGATTTCCTCGTCACGCTGTGATTCCATCAAAGCTTGGAATTCTTCAATTGTGGGACATATCTCTTATCCGCCAAAGTTGAAACATGTGTAATCAGATTCCAACATCTAGCTACGGCATGGAGGAATGGAAAACACAGCGGAGTGTGGCTCAGCGGGAATAGTGCATTTGTCCCAAAGCCCCGAAAATTCAACTTTTCCTACCCATCTAAAGTTGCAATCCAATCCGATAGTTTTCCAGTGAAGAATGGCTTCATTTAGGGCAAAAATGGAGCTGGAATGAAGAAACCACGAAGATGGAGCTTTTGTAGAAGATAAGGTGTTGAGTGGAAGACAGGTGGCAACAATCTGAAGGTTCCTTACATTGGTGGCCAACCGGCCAGTGTTGGTGGCTGACCGGCCACTTTTGTAGCCGACCAGTCAGTACTAGTGGCCGACAACCACTTTTGATAGCCGGCAGTATCTTTTTATGGCCGGTGGCCTTCCATTTTTCCCTCTGGGCCATCCATGTATTGAAAGTGCTAAGAACCTATGTTTTCTTTCACTCTTGGTGCATCTTTTTAGTCTCTCTTTAAGAATTTTTTCAAATTGCTTATCTAGTTGTTGGTTTTGCTTATCGGGTTGTTGCATTACTCATCGAGTTTTTTGTTTTGCTTATCGAGTTGTTACGATTTGCTTATCAAGTTGTAATTACATTGATTAGCCTGTCAAAGGCCTGTGTTGCTTATCAAGTTGTTTTGTTCTTTCAGTTGTTAGTTGGTTCACTACCTAATTAAGATGATGCAATTTGAACGTGCAGTTTCCAACAAAAAAATCAATCTCATTTTCATGCTGCACGATGTTATGCAATGCTCAGAATATAAAATGGTACACTTTTTTTTTTTAAACAAAAAGCTGTTTTCATTCCATTCATGGTTTCTTTTTACAAAGAGTACAAGTTTTTAAGAAAATAAAACTTCCTAAGGCTATACAATGTGCTAAAACTATTAGCACAAAGAAAACAAAGCAAAAAGTGTCTAAATTAGTGACGCCCATCTGAGGATCGAGAGGCCCTCTTCGTTCTCTTCTTGGGCATGGACTCGGAGCTATCGCCATCAGCACCACTATCTGAATCTGAGCTGGAGCCCTCCTCAGTATCTCCGCTCCCCTCCTCGGAGCCATCCTCAGCATCGCCACCGCTCTCAGAACCCGAGCCGGTGCCGTCGCCTCCACCATCAGATGACTCTGACTGCAGGCTTGCTGGCTCCTCGTCCTCATCTGTTTCATCATCCTCAGCGATAGGCTCTGGTGGACCGCTCTCGTCATGAGTACGTCTACCTGTGCCACACTTGTGTGCCGGAGTCCCTCGTCTCTCTCTCCATGCTATCGGGGAAGGCACTGAAGGTCCTGCTGCAGCTCCTACTGGGGCACCCGATGGAGCTAGCATCTGAAAAAGGGACCTAAAAAGGACAGTTTGTCGAATGCATCAGTTATAATATGCAAAGATGAGTATAGTAAGGAATGCATTGTGTGGGAGCAATATATCAATGCCGTGATGTAATAAATTCAGATCAGTATGGGGTAAATTGCAGTTGAAATGCTAATGTATCAGTATAAAATTTCATGATATGGCGTACAAACTGAAGGAAAACTTACTGGAATCCTGTACAGACTGAGTAGGTTCAGGCTAGTTTGAACCATCCCCATCAGAGAAGCCGCTAGCTCGAGAGCCTGTCCAGTGTACTCTATGGATGCCTGCAAATGTGTTGAAACGATCTGTGGTCTACAAAGCATGACTAAAATGAACTGAGTGTGAAAAATGTAAAGTATGGTACATACCGAGGTCAGGCCTCGAACTCCGACAAGCTCGTGACCAGCTGGTGTAGGTTCAATGGAAATCTAATAACTCTTCCCTCTGGATACCCAGCAGGTCAGTGTAGTGGGCAGCTCTGGCCACCCCACTTTCTGCCTCACCTGAGGGCCTCTCCTACCATGATCTTGGGGTGCCCTGGATCCTCCCACTATCTCCCCTACCACTGGAGCTCTGACTCTCACACCTCCACAGGCCCCAGTCAGAGGTGGCATGATATCTGTCTGGATAAAGATAGTGTAATCGCCCTGAAGCCTGAAAAAGTCGGCGTCCTAACCTCTCGTGAAGTCAATCATCTCCTGTGTGGTGTACCTCTCTATGACCCTCATGTACGTGGGAGGCGGCATCGGAGCCACCGGCTCAAGAAAGCCGGGGCTCTATCGCAGGAATCGCTTCCCTAGGAACCATGCTCGACAAACCAGGCCCTCAAGCAAAATTCGAAATCAGGACGCCTCTCGAGCATTAGCAAACTGATCTTTGACCCCGGCAGGCATCACTGCCCACAGCTGCCAGGTGATATACAAATTGTGAATATACGGGTTATTAGCTGCCATCAGAGATGCAATATGAAGTAAAGTTGAAATGACTGAAACGTTTGAGTTACCTCTACTGCGGTCACAGTGTTGAAAAATCAGAGAAAGAAGGAGAATGACTCTCGGGGCCTCCGCTGGCATCTCCCGTCGTATCTATGCGAGTACGGCACTATAGGAGGTATCTCTACCTCTGGCTTTGGGGTGAGCCTCGAAAAATAGACATGCACCCATAGCTACAGAAAGTGGCAGGATAACAGTGAGTGTGTATCAGAAGAGTACAGATAATGTAAAGCAGAAAGCAGCGGGCTTGCATTGCAGTGTACAGTGTGTGCAGTGTACAAAAAATGTAAAGTAGAAAGCAGAGGGTTTGCAAAGCAGTGTACAGTGTGTGTGCAGTGTATAGATAATGTAAAGCAGAAAGCAGAGGTTTTGCAAAGCAGTGTACAATGTGTGCAGTGTACAGATAATGTAAAACAGAAAGCATAGGGTTTGCAGTGTGCAGTGTACAGATAATGTAAAGCAGAAAGCAGAGGGTTTGCAGTGCTGTGTACAGTGTGTACAGAGTACAAATAATGTAAAGCAGAAAGCGGAAGGTTTGCTGTGCAGTGTACAGTGTATGTTATGTACAGGAAATACGAAGCAGAAATGTAAAGCAGAAGGGTAGGGTGTACCTCCCAGGCTCTCCAGTAGCCTCCTAGCAGATGCCCTCTCCAGTGAGAGTAGGAGCTCATGTATCCGTATAATGTGGCCAAGTCTGTGCTACCCCAGTCTTAGAATCGGACATAAGACAGGTCCACCAAAGCGCTCATGAGGTAGAGCCCGATGGTATTTGCCTGGTCAGCAAACAAAGTAGTACCAAACAAGAACATGAAGAACCCCCGGGCGTAGTACTCATTCTCCTCACGGGTCGTCGGTGTCGCCCCTCTAAAATGATCGGGAGATGGGTGGGCGAATTCCTAACAGATATATCTGAGCGGCCTCTAACTCACCCATGTCGTTGTCGTAAAGAATCGGATGACCCCCTACTTCTATGCTAGTGAGCATAGAGAAGTCAAAGCGAGTCATCATCATCTCCCCTGCTGTAGAGAAATGGAGGCAATCGGTGGTATCCCATCACCTCCCTACTAAAGCGCCCAGTAGAAGCCGGCTCGCGATGAGACATGTGAGCCCCATGCAAAATGCGCTGAAGCCAGCCTCGCCGATGATGTGATGGATGGCGTCAGGAAGCTCCATATAGCACTCCCTCACGGAGATGGTCCCATATCCATGAAAAGCATGTGAATCCCCCAGTGAGCAGGACAAACAAATTCAAGACAGTGTAAGAAATACAGTGCACAAAGTGTGTTCGGGTTGAATAGGTGAAAAGCAGTGTGAACTATAGAAGAATTGTAACCTACATTGCAGAAAATAAAAAGGAAGTGTATACCTCAGAGGCGCCATTGGATAAGTGTGACTCCAGCTCGCGTAGTAGGAGGTCCTCCAGTGTGCCTCGCACAAACCCCCTGAACTAGCGGATGCCATCGGGAGGCAGCACGTGTACCTCGGGATGGTACGTCGCTAGGTCAAATGGTTGAATGCTGAGTGGCAATGGCTCAAACTCGGGATCCATCTCCATCCCCAGAGGAGCTCCACTATGTGGGATGTCGTTTGCCATCTCGAGGAAGGATGTGGGATTGGTCGAAAATGTGGAAAACGTGCGGGAATGCCAAAAGTAAATATAAAGTCAACTTCGAGGGAGGAAAAATGGAAAAAAAGGTCAAGGCTCGAAAGAGGGCATGGAAATCAAGGGTAACTAGAGGGAAACAAACCCCGGGTGATGGAAGTCAAGAGGGAAACACCTACCGCGACTTTCAATCGGCTCAAAGTGTTTTGAACCATGAGGGTTTATCAAATCGGATGTTTGTGGGGTGTTGGAAAACACATGTATAGCTCGGATCTAAAGAGGGAGAAGGTTTAGAGAGCCTTTAGGATGATTTTCGGCCTTAGGGTTGTGTGGAAATGAAGTGTAGATGTATATTTAAAGGCCCGAGGTGAAATCTCCAATTTACCTCGAATCTGCCTGAAGTGTAGATGTATATTTAAAGGCCCGAGGTGAAATCTCCAATTTACCTCGAATCTGCCATCGGTGGCCGACCGGCCACCCGTGTGGCTGATCGGCCACCTTTGCTGGTCGATGAGTTTAATTTGTGGCCGATGGGTGGCCGGTGGATTCCTGGAGTGGCCGGCAAGCCTCTGATGCTCTCCTTGGTTATTGTTTTGCTGTTTGTGTCTGGATCTCTTAAGAAAATGCAAGGGAAGTACATTTTTTAAGCTCAAGTGGCCTCCGCAGAAGCTCCGGACTGTGTTTTCAGCATGTGATGCTCAGCACATACAAAGTGTATCCTTTTAATTTGTTGTAACTCCTTCGAGAGGTAAATCGGAAGTTGCGTTTCAATCTGTCTTGTTAACAATGGGCATTACTTTATTCAGTGTGTTGCATTGAATAATGTATGCGTTATTGTGTACAGAAAATGTATGTTGTGTTACATTGTATTATACATACTCTCATGTTTGTATAAAATATTCATGTTGCATTGTATTGCATTGTACATGCCCTTACATTCACATCGAATATGTGCTTCTCACGTTCGCATAGAACTTGCATTCCTATTGTATTGTACTTGTCAAAGTTTCTTCCTTGTGCAGGCACAATATTGTATGTACGGTTCATTTAAAGTAGGTGCAACCAGAGGATATTGTATGTACAGTTCATTCAGAGGAATTCTGGGTAAGATCATTCCTGTCCTTTTGGCTCCCTTGTTGGTTGGAAACATTTGGGTACGCCTGGTGTTTACACCAACACCTTTTTTGTTGGTTAGAAACATTCGGGTACGCTCGGTGTTTACACCGATACCTCTTTTGTTGGTTAGAAACATTCGAGCACGCTTGGTGTTTACACCACTTCTTATTGGTTAGAAACATTTGGGTACGCCCAGTGTTTACACCACTCTGCTTTGGTTAGAACATTCGGGTATGCCCAATGTTTATACCACCCCTTTTGGCTAGAAGCGTTTGGGACGTGTGTGCGACGCTTTTACCGCCTCTTTGGTTAGAAGCATTGGGTTGTGTGCTCAATGTTTATACCTTACTTTGGTTAGAAGCGTTTGGATCGTGTGCTCGATGCTTATACCATCCTTCCGGTTAAAAGCGTTTGGATTGTGTGTCCGACGCTTATACCACCCTTCCAGATAGAAGCGTTTGGCACATGTTTCAACGCTTATACCACTTTGTTTTGGTTAGAAACATTGGAATGTGCTCTGATGTTTATACCACCCTCCGGTGTTTGCACCGCTTTCTTTTCCCTCTCGCGCGCGGCGCGTTAGGATGCTTTGGTTAAATGTATCTGGACGGGTTCCAATGCTTACACCGCTCTTTGCTTTGATTGCCTAATGGTTAGATGTGTTTCGCTCGTTATTACTATTCTCTGTGGTTTAGAACCATAGGTTCGCACACTTTTCTCCTCGTGTGCGCCACGCATTGGAATCTTGTTTGCCGCCTCAGGTGCGCCCGATGGATGTTGCTCTTTACCTTTTCTGCGTGATACATAGTTAAGTTTGTATAATTTTCTTATATCCTTTCTGCATGAAATGTGGTTTGGTTCGTGTTACCTGCTTTTGATGTAGCGTTTTGTGAGGGCCGAATAAATGCTATTACGCACGGAGGGCAAATAGATTGAAGAGAAACCAAGAAGTGAATTACATGGCTCCATCCCAGAGGAATAAAGGCTGAATAATCAGTTGTAGACCTGGCCGAGTACAAACGGTTTGCCGAATGGGGGATTATTCATTGGAAGAAAAGTGGGCCCACCCGTCACCATCAAGGACGACTACAAATAAGGAGAGTGTCAGCTAACATGAGGTACGTGAGAACAAGTAAGTTTAACTTAAGATATAAGCAACCAAGAGGGTATGCACCGACTTATCCGTCAGAGTACTAATTCCGGCACCCCCGACCGGAGTGTTCATTCCTTTTCAAGTGACTAGCTGAGGATCACGAGCGTCCTACAGGATCCAAAGAGTATTTCCAAACCACTTCTCCACAATTGGCACCATCTGTGGGAATACTTCAGCATATCCATGGCAGGCGTAATAGAAGATCATCCGGTAGTCACTGGCAACCTTACACCACGAGATGATACCACTCCAAGTAATATGCTCGGAGCAGAGAATATTACCACACGAAGGGCCTTGAACTTCAACTCACCTTTGACTTTAGCGCACGAGACAATGCAAGTGATTATGGATCAAGCAAATCAAAATGAACAAAGATTGGAAAACATGATGGCTGAGAACGAAGGCCTTCGACATGATTTAGCCTTGGAGGTGGAAAAATCCCAACAGGCTGCACGCCAAGACCCGGGCCAACCTCTGAGAAAGGACGGTCGACAACCTTGAGTTTGAAGACACGATAGTGGCAGTGACTCTGACTCATAATCCCCAGAACCTGCAAAGAAGGGACGAGTCGAAATCTCTACCTACTCTGAAGGACGTCTGCGTGCACAGAATAAGCGAAGAAGAAAAGATTCAGATGAAGAGGATCAATATGACCCCTTTGTGCGATGGATCGCAAGGGTAGTACTACCCAAAAAGTTCAATGCTCCATCGGTCACCCTATACGATGGGAAATCAGATCCCACTAACCACATCCGTCATTATAAGCAAGCCATGACGCTGCATGTAGATGATGAGGCCCTCATGTGCCGAATATTCCTGAGCAGTTTGGGACTATAGGCCGTCAGATGGTATTATAAATTGGAACCGGCGTCGATTAAGAGGTTCCATCAACTCCAAAAATCCTTCAGGGCAAGGTTCATTACCAATGAGGTCCATCCGTAGCAAGCCGATTCTCTCTGGGCAATGCAAATCCAACCAAGGGAGACCTTACATGCGTATTCGACATGCTATTGGGAATGCTTTAATCTCGTAGATGATGCCTACGATGATTCCATGGCCATCACCGCCTTTAAAATGGGGTTGTATCCTAATAGTGCCCTCCGCAATTCCTTGACCAGAAGGCCCCCTAAAACAGTCTGGTCGTTAATGAAGAAAATCGAGGAATACTGCAAAGTGGAAGATGATGCTTTGCGGGTCAAAGCCGAGCACAAGGCCAACAAGACAGCTCCATCTGAAATTGTTCGGCCGATAAATTATGTACCATCACGAAGCCCTGAACCACGAAATCGGACTAAATAAGACAAAAGACGAGATTCACGCCGATCAAATGACTAATGTCCACACTGGGCTAATGAACAACTTCAAGTGGATAGCAGGCGCATAAGGCATGCGGACAAGAAATATACGGAGTTGTCAGAGCCGATCAACACGGTTATGTCTAAAGTTCAACATCTTCCGTTCTTCAAATGGCCATCCAAGATGGTGGGACCTCCCGACACGAGGAGACGGGATAGGTGGTATGAATATCACAAAGACCACGGTCATGATACCGACAGCTACTATGCTTTGAAAGATCACCTTGAGGAGTTGGTACATGACGGTTGTCTTAAGCAACACGTCCAAAAGAACAACTTAACCAAAACAGTTGCTTTACGACAAGATTCACCTTCGCTCGGCGTAATCCATATGATATATAGCTTGCTGACAACATCTGTCGTGCACACAATTCAGTCGCATCCTAATCCCCATAAGCAAATCACGCCAGCGAAACGGCCCCATGAAGCTGCGAGTATTACTTTCGATGATTCAAATTTGGCCAGTGTAACGCTTCCCCACATTGATCCCTTGGTCATCGAATTACGTGTAAACCGATTCACCGTTGAACGTGTTCTCATTGACCAAGGGAGCACTTCGGAAGTTATGTACTACAAGACCTTCATCAAACTCGGCTTCACTGAGTTAGACCTGTCTCCAGCCCATTATCCGTTATTCGGCTTCAACGCTAATCTGGAATATCCATTGGGAAAAATTACGCTTCCAGTCCGAGCAGGCTCCCGATCAGTGGATGTGAAATTTTTGGTTGTCAAGCTTCCTTCGTCGTATATTCCCATCATGGGACGAACTTGGCTACATACCTTGCAGGTCGTGCCGAGCACCTATCATCAACTACTTCGCTTCCCAACTGAACGCGGCATTGAACAAATTCGTGGTTCCCAAAAATCAGCACAAGCGTGTTATCTTCTTGCCGCAAAAACAAAAAAAGAGCTGGAAGAGAGTTCTATTGAGGTGCTGGATCGAGAGAGCCTCGACGATGATGGGCGGCTCACAAGTGAAAAAGAAACTGAGGCTCTGGATCGAGTTGAAATTGATGAGAATCCTGACAAGTTCTTCATGGTCAGCGCTACCTTGAGTAAAGTCAACAGGCAGCAACTAATTTCCTTCTTACTCGGCAACCTTGATGTATTCGCGTGGTCGCTGTATGAAATGCCGGGGGTGGATCCATCTGTTTCTCAACATCGTTTAAACGTTGACCCTAAATGTAAGCCGATTATTCAAAAAAGCCGGCGGTCAGCCGCAGAACACACTACTGCCGTTGTTGAAGAACTTGACCAGTTGCTTGATGCCGGGGTGATCCGGGAAGTGACCTATCCCACATGACTATCGAATATTGTGGTTGTAAAGAAGAAAAATGGGACTTGGCGTGTTTGTGTGGATTTCACGGACTTAAACAAAGCTTGTCCCAAGGATTGCTTTCCCTTCCCCAGAATAGACCAACTCGTAGATGCCACCGCGCATCATCAACGTATGAGCTTCCTGGACGCCTACAAAGGCTACCATCAAATTGCCATGCATCCGGAAGACCAAGAGAAAACTGCATTCCTTACCCCAAGAGGAACCTATTGCTATAAGGTTATGCCTTTCAGGTTGAAGAATGCGGGGGCAACTTACCAAAGACTACTCACTGCTATGTTCAAGGAGCAACTTGGCCGTACTATGGAAGTGTCTATTGATGATATGGTGGTCAAGTCCAAAGAAGAGCAAACTCACCTCCAAATGCGCATTCAGGATTGGATCTAGAAAATTCCTTGGCTTCATTGTTAACCACCGCAGAATCGAAGGCAACCCGAGGCAAATCACAGCAATCCTAGAACTCGGCTCTCATTAGTTGGTCAAAGAGGTTCAAAAGCTGATGGAGATGGCTGCCGCACTCAACAGGTTCATCAATCGTTCCACAGATCGCTGCCGACAATTCTTTCATACCCTTCGGGAGGGTAAAGCTTTTGAATGGACCTCCGAGTGCGAAGCCGCTTTGAACGGTTTGTAGACTTACCTCCGATTAGTTCCACTATTGACAACACCTTCGGTAGGTGATCTGCTCATTTTAAATCTGGTAGTTTTCGACTAGGCTGTCAGCACTGTACTGATAAAGGAAGAACTTGGGGAGCAACGGCTAGTCTATTATGTGAGCAAAGCAATGGTTGACGCCGAAACACGTTACCCTCCGTTGGAGAAACCTATCCTTGCTCTTGTCATGGTAGCAAGAAAACTAACGCATTATTTTCAGGGGCATACCATTGGGGTACTCACGGACTACCCCCTCCGGTCAGTACTCCGTAGTGCAGAAGCATCAAGGCACATTTCAAAATGGGCTATGGAACTCGGCCAATATGATATTCAATTTGTACCCAAAATCTCGATCAAAGGGCAAGTGCTCGCCGACTTTGTTGCTGAATTCACTGGAGGCCTTGCCGACTTTAAGTCTGATCATATTCAACCTAAGCCAAACTGGAGAATTTATGTTGGGGATATTTGGCAAATGTATTGTGACGGATCGTCAAACAAACATGCCAGTGGGGCAGGCGTAGTGATCGTGGCTCCCGATGGGGCAATAATCAAGTAGGCTGTCAAACTGCGCTTTGATGCATCGAACAATGAAGCTGAATACGAAGCATTGTTAACCGGCCTACGGAATGCATATCTCCTTGGTGCTCAGCATCTGCTTATCTTCTGCGATTCAAAGCTAGTCATCAACCAATTGAAAGGGGAATACACAGCCAAAAATGACCGTATGGCAGCTTACATGAAAACGACGAATTCTTTGCTGGCAAAATTCGACTATCATGAACTAAACCAAATAACTCAGGATCAGAACGCACATGCAGATTCCTTGGCCTGCCTAGCCTTCGCCATCAACTCAGAAATCAAATGGACAATTGAAGTAGGATTCATCCCTGAGCCGAGCATTGGCCCCTCAAAGTCGATTCAAATTAATGTCATAGAATCAGGTCCAAGTTGGATGGACCCTATCACTGTATTCCTATCTTCTGAAAAGCTCCCGGCAGAAAAGAAAGAAGCACACAAACTACGAAACAAAGCCCTGTGATATTACTTGGATCCGCAAGGAAAGCTCTACAAAAAATCCTTCTCTGGTCCATATCTAGAATGCGTTCATCCGGATAAAGTCGAAGAACTCTTGACTGAAATACAAGAAGGTAGTTGTGGTGCCCATTCCGGCGAGCGCTCTTTGGCTCATCGAGCCGTGGCACAAGGGTATTATTGACCGACAATGAGAGCTGATGCCGAGTGTTACGTTAAGAATGTGAACAGTGCCAAAAGTTTTCCCCATTAACCCGTTTGCCAGCTGAAGAGTTAAGCTCTATCACCAGTCCTTGGTCGTTCGCCCAATGGAGAATTGACATCGTCGGACCACTACCTCGGGCCCGGGGCAACAAGTGATTTTTGATTGTCGCGACGGATTACATCACAAAGTGGGTCGAAGTGGAGGCACTAACGCACATTCGAGATACTGATGTTAAGTGTTTTGTATGGAGAAATATCATAATACGATTCGATATTCCAAGAGCACTTATTTTAGACAACGGCACCCAGTTTGCTTATGGCGTCTACCTGGAACTATGCAGCACGTATGGTATTCGGCCTTATTGCTCCACGCCGGCTTATCCACAGAGCAATGGTCAAGCCGAAGCCTCCAACAAAGTCATCTTGGACGGCATCAAGAAGAGGCTGGAAAAAGCTAAAGGAAAATGGGTCGAAGAGTTACCGAGTGTGTTGTGTTCTCATCGCAATATGCCGAGGCGTTCCACTAGGGAAACACCGTTTGCTTTATGTTTTGGAACCCAGGCAATCATCTCCCTGGAGATCGGCCTCCTAACCTTGAAATCGAAAGTTTTTGGTATGGGCCAAAATGTTGGCCTTGGATCTGACTCTGATTGAAAAATGACGGGACCGTGCCCTTGCGTCTATGGCACGGCACCAGCAAAAGCTTGCTAAGTTGTATAATCAACGTGTTCAGCTACACCGCTATACACCAGGAGAATTGGTCCTCAAGAAAGTATTTCCGGCTGCCAGGAATCCGGCTGACGGAAAACTGGGTCCTAACTGGGACGGCCCCTATCAGATTGATTCAATCATGGGAACAGGGGCATATCGGCCCAAAGACATGTCTAGGAGAAGTTTGCCACGTCCTTGGAATTCCACTCATTTGCGTAAATTTTATCATTAACCCGGTATGTGGGGCATGATGACTTGTTTTGAGTGTTCGTCGTGTACAACTTTCACTTTTAAAATAAAAGGACTTCTTATCTCACAATATGGAATTTTAGTTCGAAGTAAAAGCCTCCGTATTCAGAGCGCCCTTCGTGGATGTCACGATTAGCCAAGTCAAAAGCCTCCAAATTTGGAGCCCCATCCGTGCACGACATGTTTGGGCAGAATAAGCCTCCGGATTTGGAGCGCCCTTCGTGGATGCCACTATTGGCCAAGTAAAAGCCTACGAATTTGAGCCCTATTCGTGCACGTCACGTTTGGGCCGAATAACCCTCCGGATTCAGAGCGCCCTTCGTGGATGCCACGATTGGCCAAGTCAAAAGCCTTCGAATTCAGAGCCTCATCCGTGCACGACATGTTTGGGCCGAATAAGCCTTCGGATTCGGAGCGCCCTTCATGGATGCCACGATTGGCCAGGTAAAAGCCTCTGAATTCGGAGCCCCATCCATGCACGACATGTTTAGGCCAAATAAGCCTCCGGATTCAGAGCGTCATTCGTGGATGCCACGATTGGCCAAGTCAAAAGCCTCCGAATTCAGAGCCCCATCCTTTCACGACACGTTTGGGCCGAATAAGCCTCTGGATTCGGAGCGCCCTTCGTGGATGCCATGATTGGCCAAAAAAAAGCCTCCGAATTCAGAGCCCCATCCTTTCACGACACGTTTGGACCGAATAAGCCTCCGTTCATCCGGATAAAGTCGAAGAACTCTTGACTGAAATACAAAAGGTAGTTGTGGTGCCCATTCCGGCGAGCGCTCTTTGGCTCATCGAGCGTGGCACAAGGGTATTATTGACCGACAATGAGAGCTGATGCCGAGTGTTACGTTAAGAATGTGAACAGTGCCAAAAGTTTTCCCCATTAACCCGTTTGCCAGCTGAAGAGTTAAGCTCTATCACCAGTCCTTGGTCGTTCGCCCAATGGAGAATTGACATCGTCGACCACTACCTCGGGCCCGGGGCAACAAGTGATTTTTGATTGTCGCGACGGATTACATCACAAAGTGGGTCGAAGTGGAGGCACTAACGCACATTCGAGATACTGATGTTAAGTGTTTTGTATGGAGAAATATCATAATACGATTCGGTATTCCAAGAGCACTTATTTTAGACAACGGCACCCAGTTTGTTATGGCGTCTACCTGGAACTTGCAGCACGTATGGTATTCGGCCTTATTGCTCCACGCCGGCTTATCCACAGAGCAATGGTCAAGCCGAAGCCTCCAACAAAGCATCTTGGACGGCATCAAGAAGAGGCTGGAAAAAGCTAAAGGAAAATGGGTCGAAGAGTTACCGAGTGTGTTTGTGTTCTCATCGCATATGCGCGGGCGTTCCACTAGGGAAACACCGTTTGCTTTATGTTTTGGAACCCAGGCAATCATCTCCCTGGAGATCGGCCTCCTAACTTGAAATCGAAAGTTTTTGGTATGGGCCAAAAACAAATGTTGGCCTTGATCTGACTCTGATTGAAAAATGACGGACCGTGCCCTTGCGTCTATGGCACGGCACCAGCAAAAGCTTGCTAAGTTGTATAATCAACGTGTTCAGCTACACCGCTATACACCAGGAGAATTGGTCCTCAAGAAAGTATTTCCGGTGCCAGGAATCCGGCTGACGGAAAACTGGGTCCTAACTGGGACGGCCCCTATCAGATTGATTCAATCATGGGAACAGGGGCATATCGGCCCAAAGACATGTCTAGAGAAGTTTGCCACGTCCTTGGAATTCCACTCATTTGCGTAAATTTTATCATTAACCCGGTATGTGGGGCATGATGACTTGTTTTGAGTGTTCGTCGTGTACAACTTTCACTTTTAAAATAAAAGGACTTCTTATCTCACAATATGGAATTTTAGTTCGAAGTAAAAGCCTCCGTATTCAGAGCGCCCTTCGTGGATGTCAGATTAGCCAAGTCAAAAGCCTCCAAATTTGGAGCCCCATCCGTGCACGACATGTTTGGGCAGAATAAGCCTCCGGATTTGGAGCGCCCTTCGTGGATGCCACTATTGGCCAAGTAAAAGCCTACGAATTTGAGCCCTATTCGTGCACGTCACGTTTGGCCGAATAACCCTCCGGATTCAGAGCGCCCTTCG